CTCTCTCTCTCACTCTGTTTCTTTCTTTCTCTCTCTCTCTCTCTGTTTTTTCTCTCTCTCCCCCTCTCTCTCTCTCTCCTCTGTTTCTTTCTTTTCTCTCTCTCTATCTCTCTCTCTTTTTTCTCTCTCCCCCTCTCTCTCTCCTCTGTTTCTTTCTTTCTCTCTCTGTTTTTTTCTCTCTCCCCCTCTCTCTCTCTCACTCTGTTTCTTTCTTTCTCTCTCTCTATCACTCTCTCTGTTTTTTTCTCTCTCTCTCTCTCTCACTCTGTTTCTTTCTTTCTCTCTCTCTCTCTCTGTTTTTTCTCTCTCCCCCCCTCTCTCTCTCTCACTCTGTTTCTTTCTCTCTCTCTCTCTCTATATATATATATATATATATATATATATATATATATATCGACACTTCGTGGGAAGGAAAGCGTTGGTGAAATTTATGATAAGTTCAAGGAAGAGGACAATTCACACAGTCAATAAAAAAAGACGTGTGGTGGGAAAATCATGGAACACGATTAAAATATATTTATTAGTAAAATAATTTACGAATAAAAAGTAAATAGTTCAGATGAAGAAAAAATACTCACAAACCTCCTAAAAGATCGAGGGTGGGGTGATATATATATATATATATATATATATATATATATATATATATATATGTGTGTGTGTGTGTGTGTGTGTGTGTGCGTATTTAGGCAGCAAATTCTCTTTTTAGGTATGTTCGATTTAAGTGTAATATACGGAAAAACATTCGTGAATATGAAAGGATTATGATAAAAATGAGCAAACAAAATATTTGTAATTTATTCAATCACACACACACACACGCAAACACACACACACACAAATATATATATATATATATATATATATAATAAAAATGAAGTTATGCTATATTTATGGGTAAAAGTGCTCAATATCAGGGACAGATCGTATGTAAAATGAACACCGAGTGGTGACTGTCTGTTTTATGCATGAACGTAATTTTCAGACCTTGTATATATCGGAAACCGATACGTAATACCAATAACAATATTAGGGGAAACAAGGATGACAAAATGGAAAAAAAAGGTTTCGTGTGACGCTATTCGTCCTTTAGTACTTCATCGTACTAAACGGAATCATAAATTTAATCCGATGAAGTCCAAAAGAACAATATATATATATAATAACTGACCACTCGTATTGGAGGATACCTGTCAATTAGGGCGGATAGCCAATCCCTATTGCAGACGCTCGCTCAGATCCCACCTGTGGTTTATACTGCAACTATGCTGAGCAGACATTAGTTACAGTTTCTGGAGAGAGAGCGTGTTATCTAGCGTGATCAACAATCTGAAACAAGACTATCACACTCAAACCCTCGGTCACGATGACTTGTGACTTCGTGCTAGCACAACTATCGACGGCTCCCAAGTGTTCCGTCTACCCAATTTCACTCACAAGGGTCAACCGGTGCTATCGTTTTCGGATACTTTCCAAAGTTGCCGCACGCTGGATCGTCTCCCTTTCTACATCGGTAACGTTGCCTGGTTACTGTCAGTTTGATACCTCAGTATGATTTTAGATGAAATTAGATAGATATATTGATAGATAATCAGCAAACTGAAATAGATAGATAGATAGATAGATAGATAGATAGATAGATAGATAGATAGATAGATAGATAGATAGATAGATAGATAGAAAAACAGGCTTAGATAGATAGATAGATAGATAGATAGATAGATAGATAGAAGAACAGGCTTAGATAGATAGATAGATAGATAGATAGATAGATAGATAGATAGATAGATAGATTAAATGTAAAGAAAAAGTAAATGTCTCAGTAAAAGAATTTAAATGACACAATTAAATAAAGACCTATTGATATCTGTTTATTTGTGATTTTAAGGAATTTTTTTCCCAATATAGAAATGGAATCTCGTTAAAAAATATTCATTGCCTTTACCGTTTGTTGCTAATATCTCACCTTATTTGTTTTATATCTGATATAAAAGTATATAAAAAAGATTACAGGGATATTTAAGTTTATGCCTTTCTCTGAGATTCTTTAAAAATGCCATTAATAAATGGTAAACACTATTCTTGATGCAGACTGTGTTATTCGTGTAAAAAAGCAATTATTTCTTTCTGAAAGCATAAAAAACGATGCAAAGCTTATAAACTGTTCACTATAGTGAATTATGGCTCTCCACAACTTCCTATTCATTGTAGTTCTTAGCAATGTTTGTCTTTTTACTATCATTTCCCGTTCTGTTATCCATTAACACAAGTTCATTATGTAGGCTACGTGATATTTCCGTCGATCCCCCACTTTGCCTTCAATGTGTCCTGTGTGTACAAAATTTTCTAAGCTTCCTTTTTTACCCTCATTGTGTCTCCAACAAATTGTTTCCATTTTCCTTAAGACGTCCTCATTATTTACTTGCTCTGTCCATCGTATATTCTCAGCATCCTTCTGTAGAACCACATTTCTATTGCCTTAAGCCTCCTCTTCGTCTGTAATGTAATTGTCCAGTGTTCATTGCCATATTGTAGGACTGATATTACATAGTATTTCAGCACTATTTTCTTTGTTTCTAGTTAAATTCCCCCCCTTTTTTAATACTTTGTTTGACTTTTGGAAGGCATATGTTGCTATTCAAATGCGTCTTCGGATTTCAGTGTCATGTTTTTTACAGAAATATTATTTCTGTAAATAAATTCGATTTTACTATCAAACTCCACGAAAAGTGGATGTAATCTTCACCAAAAACACAGTAGGGATTGAAAAGTGTACAGTGTATTTATTTTGTTAATATTAATTATCTGTCCCTTGATAATGGTCACGACAAGCTTGTTAGGTAGGTTATGCATTGTTTTCTTCTGTCTCTCTTGATTTTAATGTCCTGTGAGTGTCAAATTTTCCAAGAATTCTTTCCTTATTACGCGTCCAATTTTCGTTAAAACACCCTTATTACTCACATTCTCTGTCCATAATATATTCTCAGCATCCTTCTGTAGAATTAAATTTCTGTTGCCTCAAGTCTCCTCTTCATCTCTAAAGAAATTGTCCAACATTCCCTGTCAGATACAAGGACTGATATTGCATTGCAGTTCAGTATTATTTGTTTCTAATGAAATTTTCCTGTTTCTTAATACTTTGTTTAACTTTTGGAAGGCATCTTTCACTATCCCAATGCACCTTCGGATTTTAGTGCCACATTTTCCGGCCTATATTAAAACACGTCACAGATATTTAATTTTTCGTACTTGCTTAATTTTGGCATCTTCAATTCGTCGCTCGCAAACTCGGCTGTTCTTTTTGCTGGCAAAAATGCATTCTATCTTTTTATAATTGATAGTTTGTCCTTTCTTGCAGGTTTTCTTTAAAAAACAGCACCGCTTTATCTGTAATAGTTTCTTCCTTAACTTCTCAACCGCCAAAAGAAAAAAATACTCAGTCTGTGTGAGACTGAAAAACTATTCTTAGCGGGCGCGTTTCGACCTCTGAGGGACTTTATCAAGGCAAGTGTAGGATTTATTTTGATGCACGTGTTTATATACAAAAGCAAGGATATCATTGGTTTATCAAGGTTTTTTAAATTTGAGAACGTTCATGAATATTCATCAAGTGGTTGATAAGTCAGTCAAAACATATGGAGGACACAAAGTGCCATAATTCAAGATCTGGTAAGGCAAATGTAAGCGAGTAATATTCAAGAAATTTTAAAACTTTGATAAACCAATAAGAAAATATCACCGCTTTATCTGTAATAGTTTCTTCCTTAACTCCTCACCCGCCATAAAGAAAAGAATTGTCAGTCTGTGTCAGATATTATCTAGAAGCAGTTTGACTACAAATCAAAATTGTTTTTTCATTTACAGATGTCAGATTGAGTTTTGAGGCTTTTCTTGCGAGATAAAATATTCTCATTTCTGACATATTTCTGCAAGATCAGAAATATGATAATCAAAAGGCCATAAAAATGTCTTAAAAACTTACAACGAATTTATGTAGACAGAAATGCTAATTTCTGATAAAATGTTTCTCTAATGGTGGTTGCCTTTTACAACAAATGATGAGTTAGAGTTCCTGTTTATTTGCCGAAAAATCAACATCCCGTCATAAAACATGGAGTTTTTACTGCATAAAATGAATTTTAAAGATTATTATATAACCCTTTCATGCGAACTTTGTTCAGACATTTGTGTATTTCTTTTTTAAAATAATAACGAATATGGTTTACGACTTGTAACGGAAAGCGGGTCACTACCGACAATCGTATTCCGTTGAAAACTTTCATTATAAATGCACTGAACACGTGGAGGATTTTTTAAAAATATATCTTTATAGACTGAACAACAAAACTAAAAGAAAATGAGAGAAATATATATATTAGGTTGAGTCATAAATAATTTCTGTTTTGCTTACCAACTTTTTTCTTAAAGTACAATTACATTTTGTTTAATTATATACGCTATTGGACGGGCGTTGTGGTGTAATTGATATCTGCTCGGAATGTGAAATTTGAATCCCAGTCTGGTTCGTTGCATTCACTTACGCGCAAAAGGAAAAGTTATGAATCCACCTATTCTTCCCTAAGCTATGGGTTAATAAGTTAGACTCGTATCACTAAAACTATTATCTAAAATAAATAATAATAAAATGGGTTTGAATCGCAGGATAGACTGCCTAGTTAGTTATGATCGCCCAAGCGTCTATCACGTATGACATTTAATTAAGTCTGATATTCATTATTATTTGCCATGATATGTGGCCAGTTATCAGGCAGCTCTTTACAACGAACTCTTGAATCTGGTTTTCATTAGAGAAAGATTTCCTCATCAAAGCGTTTGCAGCGATCGACAAAGATAATAATCGATTGGTGCATGGTCAGGTGAATATGGCGAATGGGGTAGAACAGACCAACTGAGTTACAAAAATTTCCTATTTTATTCTTATTTTATACGACCTTGCGTTGTCATTTTTCCTTTTGATGAGCGAAAGGCGCTTTTCGACCAAACTTTATGGACACGCTGTAGCTGCTAGATATATAAATGCGCATTTAGTATTTTATTGCATTTTGAGAGCTCGAAATGAATAATCTCACAACAATCCCACCGCATGTAAAACATTACTTTTCTTCCATGAAGCTCAGATTTTGTGGTCGGTTGTATAGAGGTACCCTTGTCAATCCAGTGCCTTTTACATTGAACATAGTCTTATGTAACCCCTTTTTCATCACCTGTTATCATTTAAGAAACTGTTTATTAGGATGATACACTTTATTCCCTGAAACGGAAATGATTTATGACGCAACCTAATATTTGTATGATTAGCTGCCGTGTGTGTGTGTCTTTGTGTGTCATGCGCTGCGTGGTTCGGTTGAATAAAACGTCGGTTCACCAGGGAAAAGAAATTTCACCGGTAGGGAGGGGCGACTCCATCTTATTGTTGCCCACATCCTGTGTGTGAGAGGATAAAAAAGAGAAAAAAAGTTTTTGTCAATTCTTTTTATACTGCTTATTACAACGTCACCTACGAGCGTTAAGAGAAGTCCACTGGCAGACAAGGTGGGGTTATCCCACAGCATTACAAAATCCGTGGACCAGTAAATAACGCATTTTTGTAAGTAAATAAAAAAATATAGCATTAATTATGAAATAGCTATACCCGTGAAAATTTCACAGCCTTGCTTATCTTAAATTCCTGGTGATGTAATGAAAGCTTCAATCAGCCCAACTCTTTAGATCCAATGTGTTTTTATAGGTATCAACAAAATTGTTCGAAAATAATTGTTCTTAAACAATTATTTGAAAAAGAAACATTTATTCGAATTGTAAATTGTTTGAATGAAAATTAATCGAAAGGACAATTATACTAAATGATAATTATTCGAAATGTTTGAAATACGTACGTGGTTTTGTTTTGAGAGACTCATTGCTGATTTACCGAGAATTAATAACGCCCTTGAAGGATGGTATAGAACTTTTTTGCAGCAAGTGTCATCCCAAAATGCCACAATATTGAAATTCTTAGACGCTCTTTAAAGAGAACAGGACTTGCAAGAAATTCCTATTGCAAAACTAAGAACATGTTGGCAAAATATCAAGAGTGCCAAGAAATACC